ATATATATATATATATATATATATATATATATATATATATATATATATATATATATATATATATATATATATGTATAAGTGTGTCTTTTTTCATTGTGCACACATTAAAAAGTTTTCGGGTAACATAAATTTTAATGACCTCAAGTGTGTGGGTTGTGACTCATTTAATTGCAAAGTAATGGTTTTCATAGAAGTTTCACAATAATTTAATTCACTTTGTTCCACGTGTTGTACATTTTTGTAAGGACAGGTATCTATAAAATGTATCTAAATAGTTTGCTCAAACCTAGTATAGCTTGTGTTATGTAGGCCTAGCCGAGACATTTCTGTGTTCTTGCTTAAATTGTAACATTTCAGAAAGCAAGTTGTACAGTATAAATAAATATTTAAAAATGTAAGGTTTGTATTATGGGGATTAGACTAAGCACCGCATTTCACATAATGCCTATTAAGTTAAATAGCCTGATTTGTGTTATGTGCCTTACAGATATTTTTCCTAGTGTTTTGGCAAATATTACAACCTGACTAAATTCTCAATCTCTTTCTTTTCAGGCTAAAAGTGAAGCAGCTGGAAGTTCAGTTTGGTATATTGTCCAATTATTGATTTTAATACACACTCATTGTATAGAGTTAGAACCTACCTATTAGTGAGATCCTAGAATGCTGGCCTGCTTTAAAATGGAGTCACAGGTCAAAAATATTTTTCTTAATACACTTGAAAATATGTGTTATATTGAAAGGAATAGTTCGCCCAGAAATGAATATTTGCCGTTAATTTACTCTCTCTCTGGCCATGCAAGATGTAGGCCTAGGTGATGTTCTTCCTTCAGTAGAACACTAAAGATGATTTTTAGCTTAAAGAAGTAGTTCACTTTCAAATGAAAATTTCCTGATAATTTACTCACCCCCACGTCATCCAAGATGTTCATGTCTTTCTTTCTTCAGTCAAAAAGAAAACAAGGTTTTTGAGGAAAACATCCCAGGATTTTTGTCCATATAGTGGACTTCACCAGTTACCAAACGGCTGAAGGTCCAAATTGCAGTTTCAATGCCGCTTCAAAGGGCTCTACACAGTAGCAGATGAGGAATAAGGGTGTTATCTAACCAAACCATCAGTCATTTTCTAAAAAAAAAAGAAAAATGTTTATGCTTTATAAACACAAATGCTAGTCGTGCACTATGGACTTCACACATTACGTAATCACGTTGGAAAGGTCACGCGGGACGTAGGCGAAAGCACCGTCCCAGTGTTTACGAAGTGAACGTGCAAAGAAAGTCAAACGCCCTTTACAAAAAAAGGTAAAACAACGATGCCGGTTGATTTTGAATTTGACCAAACCGCACATGACCTTACTAACGTAATACGTGAAGATGTGCATGCGCAAGCAGAGCTAACAAGACAAGCATTTGTGGTTAAAAAGTATATAAATGTTTATTGTTTTAAGAAAATTATAGATGGTTTGGCTAGATAAGACCCTTATTCCTCATCTGGTACCGTGTAGAGCCCTTTGAAGCGGCACTAAAACTGCAATTGGGACCTTCAACTGTTTGGTAACTGTTGAAGTCCACTATATGCACTATATATTTCCTCAAAAACCTTAATTTATTTTCGACTGGAGAAAGAAAGATATTAACATCTTGGATGACATAGGGGAGAATAAATTATCAGGAAATTTTCATTTGAAAGTGAACTACTCCTTTAACTCTAGATCCTTAGTGATTTATTATAAAATGCAGCTTAACGGGTGATGCCACTTTGTGTTTATGTTTTTCAAAAAACATAAACAAACAGCACAAAATTAATACCTGTGGCACAGAAATCTCGAGCTCCCGACTCTTGTTTTCCTGGTAATAATGTTATAATATAGATTCCATGTTAAATCAGGATTCTCATAGTCAAGTTAGGGCTGTCACGATTTCAGATTTTTCACTACACGATTATCGTGGCCAAAAAAATTCACGATAACGATATATTGCGTAATCTATAGAAATCTTGAAAAATAAATAAACAAATCATGCTATCTGTCAAAAAAACATTTTTTTCCCCTTTTTTGACCAATGAATAACACCATTGCATACACAAGGAACAATTACACTAAACAAAAGAGACTAAACTGCTAACCGTTTTTAGTTTAGCACAGTGTCAAAGTAAGACCATTTATGAGAATATGAGAATATATTTTACTTTATAACTTGCCTTATAGCGTCGATCGAGTGTTTGAAATAACTTCTGTGAACTGATTCTTGTTTTATAGTATTCTATACAGTGATAAAGGCTATGTCAATTAGCATTGCAAAATAAATATACATTATCCATATGAAAATGCCTGAGATGGCTTGAAGAACACAGATAAACCATACACTGATGCAATCGTGTGCTGATTCTCATCCTATTTCATCATACAAAACATTTCTTTCTGCATTTTATTTAGCAGCGACAGCTGGATGCCTTTGTCCATATAAGGGATTTCCTGGAAAGTCATTTGTTTTATTACTTCTTTGAGTCTTGCTTGTGGAATTTCTGCGCAGGATGCCCTCCGTTGTCGAGTATGAATGAAACAAATAACACATGAGAGTTTAATGCTTCATAATGGATTAATGGCGCTGGATTATTATGAGTCATATTATTCTATGAGCACTATTCATTTTTAAATATCTCCAATACTGGTATATTGCGACACTCCTAATTAACACGATAATGATATTTCATTATTTAAATATCACGGTTATCGTCAATACCGGTATATCGCGACACCCCTAACTCAAGTCTCTAATTCTCACACTGAAGGAAAAAGTTGACATCCATGTACGACGAGCTGCTGTCCTCTGTGCTCTGTCCACCTATCTGCTTGAGGATGACTCCAGCTTTCTCAAGATGTGGGATGTGAGTGATCATGTTGCTTAGAATTTAGAGAGATAGTCCACACAAAATGAAAATGCTGCCTAGTCCTCATTTACACTCTTTTGCAGAACACCAAATAATTGCTGCAATTCTAAGATATATTCAAAACCTGGAACTACAACCTGAATGACTATATATGGAACGATCTTCCCACCCCTATCCGGAATGCTGAATCCCTGACAATTTTCAAGCGACAGCTGAAAACTCATCTCTTTCGAAGCTACTTGACTTCATCATAAAAAAAAACAAAAAAACAAAAACAAAAAAAAATCTCTCTCTTTATTTATTCCTTCTCTTTCTAGCTTGTACTTATTTGAACAATGTCTAAGAACTTGGTATTACAACCACTTCTTGTGTCTGTTTGCCTCTTTAAGAAGAATCGCTTTATGTATCCCCCAATTGTAAGTCGCTTTGGATAAAAGCGTCTGCTAAATGACTAAATGTAAATGTAAATATGGAAATATATATTTGTATTTCTATATAAAAATTACCACAGTATAAGGTCCATATACAGTACCATGTGTTCATGCTCTCATAGAAAGAGAGTTTAAAAAAATCCCTGATCTCTTTTGAAATCTTTCTCTTATATTCTACAAGGTTTATATTACTAAGGTTACTGTTAGATGTGAATTTTGTGAATTTAGTGTTCCTACTTTAGGGAAGTGTTTACAGCTGAGTGATATCCAGATATCCGTATTGTCCACTTCTAAAAGTGACAGTTATTTTCTCAGTTCATTTCTCAAGGGCACTGTTTTGGAGAATGTATTTCCATGTGACAAACAATTTAATGTTGACGTTTTGTTAATTATTTGTGGTTACTTAATAAAAGAGTAACTTGCATTTAAATTGTCTGTTGACCTGTTTTTTCCCCCCAGAATGTGTATAGTTAGCAATTTAGTTACTTAATAACGTAAATTTAAAAACTTACAAAAATAAATAAGGTCA